CCCCTCCTGCAGCATCTGCTCATCCAGGGCTGCCCACAGCGGGGAGCTGGGAGGAAAGCTGGGCCCAGGCCAGGCCAGGCCAGGCCAGCCTCTGAGGAGCCCTCCCAGTCCGGCTGCACGGGCCCCAGGCCTGGTGGGAGTGGGCCTTCGCCTTCGCTGTGAGACCAGAGACTAGACGAGGCCGCGTACGGAGGAGGTCCAGGGGTAGGAAGCCTGGAAGGGCAGAAACATGAGAGGGCTTGACTGCCAGCCACTGCCACCGCTCCCGCCACCAGGGCCGGGGGCCTGGGCATCCCCCTCACCTCACTCCAGGAAGGGTGACAGGCAGCTCAGCCACACTGCCTGGGGCGGGAAGGAGCCGGAGTGGCCAGCACCCCAGGACCCTGCACAGGAAGCCCTGCAGCGCCTGCAGCCTCCGCTCAGAGGGCTCCAGCCACTGGAAGGCCCCGGCTGCATCTGTCTGCCCAGGCGGGGCGGCTGGTCAAGGAAAACACAACCAGCCAGGAGGGAGCCCAACTGCATGCCAGACCCTGTGCCAAGTGCACGATGGGCACTGCCTCCTATCTCCTCACTGTGGCCCTGCCTGGGATGTTGACACCCAGTCAGCAGTGGAAGTTCAGGGAGGAAAAGGGAGCTGCCTGAAGCTACTCAGCCAGTAAGACAGCGGTTCTCAACCTGTGGGTCGCGACCACTTTGGCGGTCGAACGACCCTTTCACAGGGGTCACCTAAGACCATCCTGCATATCAGATATTTACACGACAACATTACAGTTATGAAGTAGCAACGAAAATAATTTTATGGTTGGGTCACAACATGAGGAACTGTATTTAAAGGGCCAGAAGGTTGAGAGCCACTGCAGTAAGAGGTGGAGCTGGATGAGCCTCACCCCAAAGACCTGTCTCATCCCGTTTCAGCCACTGCTGCCCCTCTCCGGGCCCAGAGCCCTCACTACCTGCTCAGAGCTCTGACTCAAGGCGTGAGCTTGGACCCATGGACACAATCCACTATCGCCCTTGGCCAGGCCCACGTGCTCCCCAAACCAGGATTCAGCGAGGCCTCGGCAGCTTGCGTCCCCAATCCCAAACTATAGGAGGTCGCCTGTGCCCACTCCTCTCTCCAATTGCACTGTGTTCCCAACAGGCACTAAGTATCTTGAAGCAAAAGCCTGTTTAAAGCCCAGAGGGCCCAGCTCACTCTCACCCTGGCCTTTGCACCATCTGTGCCCCGTCTCCTTTTTCACTTCTCTTTACCCGAACCCCTCATCCTGTGTGTCTCAGCTTTGATGCCACCTCCACTGGAAAGGTCCAGGTTAGGGGCCTCCTTGGGCCCCCTCAGCCCTCCTCAGTTCCCCAGTGAAGTGTAGCTGGCACCTCCGGCTGGCCACAGCCCGGAGCCTGGGTAGAGGACTCGGAGATGCTCCTGGAATGTGTGCCCGGCTTTCCGGCATTGTTAGGGCTGACCCACTTGTGCCAGTTCCCACGTACCCTGGGAGCCCAGCCACAACCCACCCATCTACACAGGCCCAGGGTCCGGGCAAAGGATACAGGCCAGGCCAGCCAGGAGGCCGCAGAAGAGCTGCAGGAAGGGTGGCTCGGAGGTGAGCAGTGGTGTCAGGGCAAGGAGCAACCACGGCAACAGCCACGGTGGCACTGCCCCATGGAGCCCTCTAGGGTGGTACCCCTGCCCTGATAGCATGGCCAGGTGGACGGGCATGTACCCGCAGCCACCAGCTGCAGCGGACACCCCGAGGCCTGCCAGCAGCACCGCCATTAGCCCGGCAGCCAGGGCGAGTAGGGTGGAGGCATGCAGGAACCGCAGCGTGCCCAGGTGGTACTCCTGCCGCCAGCCCAGCACGGGCAGGAGCAGCAGACTCAGGAGCAGGCTGGGTAGGGCCGTGTGACCCAGAGCATGGGTCAGCAGCCGGTGTGCTGGGAGAGAGAAGGGGCTTATGTGCCAGGTTAGTGGCCCCCACCCCCAAGGCTGTCCCAGGTGTGCCAGGCTGGGACTTGCCCTCTGCCAGGGCCACCCCCTAAGCCAGCCTCGCCTCCCCAGGAGCCAACATTGGCCCCTTGCGGACCGCTGCCAGCAGTCACCCAACGGCTTCCAAACACAATGGCCGCTGCCCCGCTGCAATGAACAGAACAAGCCAGACCCACCCTCAGGCTTCTCAAGAGCAATCAACCCTGATGAGTCACTTAACCTGTGGGCATCACTTAGATTCTTCAACTGTAAATGGAAGCTGCTGTTATTACGGGGAGCCGGGCACCCGGCTGCACTTTGCACTAGGCTGGGGTCACTCAAACTCCCATCCTCGCGCTTAGGTGAAAGCCTTAGTTCTTATTTCAAGAGAAAGACATCAGTAACGGGAGACTTCTGAAAAGAATTCCCACTCACAGGCTCCCACCCCCTGCTGGCTCTGCTGCCCTCCTTGGCTGTGGATGAGCTGGGCATGCTCCGTCCAAGGCTGCCCCTCCCGGGGGCATGCCGCTCCCACCAAGCTGTCTTGGGCCCTACAGCCTGTCTCCTGCCCCCTCCAAGGCCCAGGCAGCCAGCCCTCACCCTGCCAGGGGTCCAGCAGCAGCTCTGGGGCCAGGGCCAGGCTGGGACCGGCCCCCACCAGCCACAGGCAGCTCATGAGCAGCATCAGGACTGAGGAGGCGAGAGGCAGCGCTGGAGACAGGAGGCCGGGGGGGCCTCTATCATACATAGCTTGGCTGAAGGTGTCAAGGGCAGTGTCGGGGTTGTGTGCTATGGGTAAAGGAGAACAGTAACAGTTATTAGGGCAGCTCTTATCGGATGTCCTTTCAATTGCCCTCAATTTTACAGAAGTAGGAACTGGGCTGGAGGGACAGACCCAGCACCTTGGCCATAGAGGAGCTCAGATCCTAACCATGTGCTTGGCCATCTTTCCAGTCCACTGGCCTGTGTCTGAGGATGGGAACAGCCAGACCAAAAGGGCCCTGAGCCCTGATGAGCCCTAAAGAGCCCGAGGTGGGAGCACAGGGCAGGAAAGTTGAACTGGGGCCCTGGACTCCCCAAAAGAGGGCTGTGGCCTCCCAGGGCACATTCAGGGCCTCTCCAGCTTCCCTCCGGCTGCCAACCAACTACCTTCCTCCCTCCTACCCTCCACTGTGCCCAGCCTTAGACTTCCAAATGGCCTCGGCTGCCCTCGACCCAGGGGTAGAGCCCAGCCAATGGGCAGGCCGGTTAGGGAGGGGGTGGGGCAGAAGGGTTTGAGGAGGAGTAGGAGGAGCTCCCCGAGTGCATACAAAGTGACCCTGGACTGAGACATTCACTCCCACAAAGCCCTAAGCACAGCCCCCCATCCTACCCCCCACCCCCGTTTTCACAGGAACGTTCCAGTGTCCCCTTCTTCCCGCTGTGTACCCCCGGGCGAGCTTTCCAACCTCTGAGCCTCCACTTCCTCTCTGTAAAATGGGGATGAAGAGAAAGGCGTGACTAAGGCAGCCCACAATTGCTCATTTAACTGCAGCCAGCAGGCTAATTGTGGGAGGGAGGCGTCACCACCAGCCGCCCCAACACAGGGAGGCCTCAACACGAAGGCGGCGGCTCCAAACTGGCTCATTCAAACTCTGGCTTCAAACGTGCCCATTCCCTCCAACAGGGCGAGGCCGCTCCCCCCTTCCTCTCCCCTCACATCCAGCCTGTCCTTCAGGCCCTGGGGGGACCCCCTCATGCCTGGCCAGGTCTGTCTGTCTGTCTCAGGGGTCCCACTGAACTGACTTCACAGGACAGGAAGCAAAATCCTAGAGAGACAAAAAGGCTGCCTCATCCGCTCCCTTGCCACCGGGACCCTCCGCATCAAAAGCCACCTGCCAGTTTCCTGCAGAAAAAAATGGAGAAAGCTCCTGTGCCTCCATATGCAAAAGGCAAGCTCCTGCCTGGCTGGCTGGCATGGCTCAGATCTACGAACCAGGAGGTCCTGGTGCAATTCCTGGTTCAGGGCACATGGCCGGGTTGGGGGCTCCATCCCCAGTGTGGGGCGTGCAGGAGGCAGCCAATCAGTGATGCTCTGCCATCATTGATGTTTCCCTCTCTCTCCCTCTCCCTTCCTCTCTGAAATCAATATATATGTAATTTTTTTTAAGGCAAACTCCTTTGCACCTTTGGAAGCCCAGCTCAGACGTCCCCACTCCCTTTCCTGGCCCCCACATGGTGGATCGTGTCCTATCTAATGAGCACAGCTCAGCCTGGGGGTGGTCTGAACTGAAGGGGGTGTGTGTTGTGGGGGTCGCTCCTCTGACTCATCCCCAAGTCCCCCGGGTGCTCCCACACCTACACGGTGCTTTGTGTGTCCACTGGAGGAAAAACACTGGCGTGGCATCCCGCCGAGGGCTCTGGGTGAGGCTGGGCTCAGAGGTGAACCCAGGGAGCCAAGGGACCCACAGCAGTCCCCCCTGCACCCTCACAGCCCCTCCCCCGCCCTCGCAGGGGTGACGGCCTCCCCCCTCACCGGACAGACTGAACCCTGGGGCCGCTGCGTCCTTAAAATGGGGCCGTGCACCACCAGGCCCCGCCCCCCTCGCCAGGCGGCCGGAGGCTGGAAGGGGAAGGCGAGGACCCTCCACCCCCCAGATTCCTCCGGCGGATGGAGGGGCGGGGTGGGGGTGGGGGGTCCCAAGGTGCGGATCGGACTCAGCTTTGTGACTTTAGGAAAAGTACCCCAATTCCGGGGGCCTGTTCTCCCTTCTGTAAAATCAAGGGTAT